TGACCAGAACTCTCTGTTGAGCCAGTTTTCTATCTTAAAGGGAACCACTATGTCTACCTCACTATCTTTCTTACTTAGCACTTTCCTCCTTACAGCCAGAGAAATACATATAAGATGACTGTTAGTGCAAGAGAGATCAGCCCCTGTATGTAGGTATGGGTAGAGGGATTTATGTGTGTGTATGTATTTTTATTTATTTAAAAATCAATGACCTGTACCTTTGCTAATGTAATAGCACTTCCATTTACTGCACGTTCTGTTCCAGGCACTGAACTAATGGCTTTATTTCACTCAATTCTTACTGTAACCCTCAAGGGAGGGACAAAGAGAGGGAGGGAGGGAGGAAGGAAGGAGGGATTACCTCCATTTTACAGATAAGGGGAGTGAGGAGAGATTAAGTAAACAGTTACACAGAAAATGAGATAAAAATGGCTTCCTGTTTAAAAAGTAAACCTATAAAAGAGAAATGCAAATTAAAATTACACTGAAAAACACCAAGAGTGAACCCTAATGTAAACCACATATTTTGTCTGGCAATGATGTGTGAGTGTAGGTCCTACCAACTGTACCAAGTATCCCACTATGGTGCAGTGGGTGGGATTCTGGGGGAGACTGGGTGGGTTTGGGTAGGGGGTATATGGGAACTCTATATTCTGGCTCATTTTGCTTGTACCCCTAAAACTTTTCTAAAAAGTAAAGTCTGGGGAGGGGAGCGGGTGAGCTGGGTGGAGGCAAATGGGAGGGAAATATGGGACATCTGTAATAGTATCAATAAAAAAAAAAAGTCTAAGTTAAAAACACTATTGTGAAATATTTCTCACCTGTAGGATTGGTGACAATGCATGTTTTTATTGTGTTATTTTTAAACAATTTTTTAAAACTAAATTTTATTGCTTTATCAAGAACATTCTTTTTTTATTTATTCATTTTTTATCATTTCAAAGAGGAAGGGAGAGGGAGAGGGAGAGGGAGAGACATCAATGATGAGAGAGAATCATGGATTGGCTGCCTCCTGCACACCCCCTGCTGGGGATCAAGCCCGCAACTAAGCATGAGCTCTGACCAGGAATCAAATCTCGACCTCCTGGTTCATAGGTTGATGCTCAACCACTGAGCCACACCAGCTGTGCATGTTTTTAATCACATTCTGGTCACAAGGATATGAGAAAATAATAAGCACTTGTAAAGAATTCTAGTGGAAGTAAATTGGTGTAATTCTCATGGAAGGCAATTTGGCAATATCAAATTTACAGATGCTTTTTCTGCTATCCAGCCAATTTTACTTCTGAGTATTATACATATGTACTTGTTCATGGGCAAAATAAAACCATGTACAAAGTCACTGGTTGCAGGCCTCTATGGAATAGGGTAATACACTATTGAGAAGATTCATGTTCAATAAACTGAGATGCCCACACATTCCTTTTAACCACATGGCTGTGAAAAGACGAAGATATTCTCCAAGTGATGACAGAAAAAAGACCTCCAAAATCTGCTTAGTGAGAAGTATTTGATCTTGCTCCCTAGCATATGCTATCAGTTTGTCTCAAATAAATTCTTATAAAAAATTTTTTTAAACCCAATAAAACAAATCCACTTAGTGAAAAAGATCAAAGTGGTAGAATGTGTATTTAATTATGCTATTTTTTTAATTAAAAGGGCTTAAAAATAAGGACATATTCCCATATTTGCATATACACTGAGTGGCCAGATTATTATGACCACCTACGTTCGTAGGTAAATTAGCTATAATTTCCCGCTAAAGTTGCTAGAGGGCCAGACCATTATAAATAGGGAAGCAGGTTGTTTACCACGACAGTAGAAGTGATTTTTTTCTGATGATATGGGTAAACAACGCGATTTAACAGCCTTTGAACGTGGGATATATTTGAACATGAGTGGCCAGATTATTATGGCCACCTGATGTTTGTAGGCAAAGGAGCCGTACACTGTATTTATGGGACATGGTAGCTGAAGGCCTGTTCGAACACCTTTGCTGTCTGCAGTTACCAAGATAAAAACGTCTCCAATTCGCACAGGAACACAAGGATTGGACAGTCGAGCATTGGAAAAAGGTCATGTGGTCCGATGAATCATGTTTCCAGTTGCATCATGCAGATGGCAGGGTGAGAATTTGGCGGAAACAGCATGAAAGCATGCACCCCACATGCATGAGTACAACCCTTCAAGCTGTTGGGGACAGTGTTATGGTTTGGGGCATGTTTTCCTGGCATGATTTGGGCCCTTTAATTCGTGTGGAACGTCTGAATAGCACAACATACCTAAGTATCGTTGCTGATCAAGTTCATCCTATCATGTTGACGGCGTATCCCAATAGAGATGGCTTCTTCCAACAAGACAATGCGCCATGCCACCGTGCTTGTATTGTGCAGGAGTGCTTTCAAGAACATGAGGAAGACTTTACCTTGCTTAGGTGGCCCCCACAACCACCAGATCTCAATCCAATTGAACATTTGTGGGACGAAGTTAAAAGAGCCATCAGGCAGCTGGTTCCACAACCATCAAACCTCACAGAACTGGACAGTGCTATTCATCAGGCATGGTGTCAGATTCCTCGCATCACCTTTCAACATCTCATGGAGTCAATGCCAAGAAGAATCGCTGCAGTATTGAAGGCAAAAGGTGGCCCAACAAAGTACTGATGGGGTGGTCATAATAATCTGGCTGCTCAGTATATATATACCACGTTCAAAGGCTGTTAAATCGCGCTGTTTATCCATATCTTCAGAAAAAAATCACTTCTGTCGTGGTAAACAACCTGCTTCCCTATTTATAATGGTCTGGCCCTCTAGCCACTTCAGCGTGAAATTATAGCTAATTTGCATACAAACGTCAGGTGGTCATAATAATCTGGCCACTCAGTGAGAGTGAGTGTGTTGTGTGTGTGTGTGTGTGTGTGTGTGTGTGTGTGTGTGTATAGTAACACTGGAGAGATACAGATGAAACTAATGAGAGTACTAACAGTGGGTACAAGTGGTGGGAAAGAGGAAGGGTGACTTTATTGTATAGCTTTTAATATTTTGGGGGTTTTGAAACATATGATTAACCATTATAAAGGTTAAATAAATAAAATAAAAGGGTAACTAATTTGCCCAAGTTCATAAAGCTAGTGAATGGCAAAGCTAGCATTCCAACTCATGTTCCCCAAGTCTATATTCTTAAGCATTACCCTCTCAAATTTATCTAATCACTTTAGCCGTCCCAAGGCAGGAGTGAACACGTGATGCCTGGTGGTAAGGGAGTAAAGCTCCCCCTAATCCATTTCTCTGAGCTTCTTGACATTCCGTTGAAAGCAGCTCAGCTGTAGACCATTCATTCCCAACTTCCCCATTCTAGGAGGAGAATAGCCCATGAACCCATGAGATGCACTGCCATATTTCTAACAGAAGGGGATCCTGTTCCAGAACAGTTTTGGTTCCTTATTTAGATCTCCAAGGACCTAAGTCTGAGTGGCATGACAGCCATGCCTCAGTGAGCTGGCCCCTGAGCCCAAACAGCTGGTCCTGCTGGACAAAGGCACGTTTTTGCAAGGCCCCATGAGAGTCAGGGCCAATGAGGGCCCCATGTGCTGCCCACATGGTTACCTGATGCACAATGCTGCTCATGAGCTCCCTATTGGTCATGCTGGCCAGCTCTAGGTGAATTGGAATACCAACGGGGATGTCAGAAATGGAGGTCACAACCTGTAAAAAGAGGACAGCATTGCTATTAGATATAGAAGTCAGACAAAAGGAAGAAAAGATCAGGTCCTAGAGGAGTGTGGATTGTCACTGTCTTCTTTGCATCCTCATGAAAACTCCAAGCTATGTAGGTTTCCACGGCCTCTGTGGATGAGGGATGCTTTTCCCAACAGGGACACCTAGGCTCTGCAGAGAAGCACTGGATTACAGACTCAGAGAGCACAAAGGACCGCCCTATATGTTCATGCAATCAGCCTATTCCTGGGGACCTAAACTGAGCAGTTGGCTTCAAGTGCTATATGAATCTGCAGCAATAGCTGATGGGAAGTGAGATGACACATAACACAAAGGACACAAACTATAAACACTGCAGCTTTCAGCCACATTCAGTTTAGCACAGGATACAGAGGGTCAGGCAGGAAGATGTTATGACCTGTCCTACTCAAGCTGCTGCCTGTGTCTGAAAGAATACTGTGAGGTGCCTCCCTAGAGCGAGAGGAAGGCTCAGAGCCAGCTGCTGTGGTATCTCCCGGGAAGGCCAGAACTGAGGGCAAGGCAGTGTAAGCTGTAGGGACCAAAAGAAGCAGGGTTCTGAAGAAACACACTGCTGAGATCTGTGACATTCTAGAACAGTGCTATTACCTCCAAGAGTCTCTTTCTCTGGAACTCCTTGCTTTGTCCCTCCATCATGTGCAATCCAGAGAGGACCACCAGGTCTGGCTGAAACTCTTCCAGGCTAGACACAAACACCTCCAGCATACTCATGGCCCCGTTGGAGAGGTCGTGGGAGAAGATCAATCGGTTGGCATGGGGAGCTTTTAACTGGCCCCACTCCTCCCCTAGAAAAGCCCAGTCAACACAATGGGAAGAAAAGGAAGAGGCTTTAAGTCTCCTAGCTGTGGGGGGATGGGGGGTGGGAGGGTGGGGGGGAGGGGGCTTGTTGGGCCCCCCAGAGCCTTTTCTCAGGGGAGGCTGGCTTCTGGCTGAGTAGAGCCTCGCTACAATGGCCTAAGATAAGCACGGCATTGTATCCAGGAAGACAGTGGTCAGTAATGAAACAAACAAACCAAATACACAGAAACACAGTATGGGTACTATACACCTTCATCAAAGGGTGGCAATTAGCTCACCCTGAGTCCCAGGAAAGCTCTGCTGTCCACTGAGCTTTTCAAAGACAGGATGCCTGTGTCCTTTCCCCGTTACAGGACAGTAGCATCACTTACAAATACCAGCATACAGTGCATAGCACACATGTCCCTGCACACAGCAATGCTGCCTTTCTCTGTCTCCACCTCACAGCAATGTCCTGAGCACCTTTCACTTAGTTGGGACCCAAGGAGGCTGAAATTCCAAGAGTCAAGCTGACTGCACTCCCTCACCCCTGCTGCCCACCGGTGGTTTCCAGGCACTTGGTCCAGAAGGTAAGAGCATCTGGCTGCTCTTACATCCTCTGAGGGAGCTGCTGTGGAATGACTGCTCAAGACCAAGTTCAAGTGCAACTTCCTTCATGAATGACTGTGACTGCTCCAGCCTGAAGTACACTTTCAGTACTTTAAGCATCCACAGAGATTTTCCTTTCCATGGTCTGTGGTAACCATTTTGCTTTGAGTTATCTCTTCTACTATTTAGAACTAGTAGTCAAACCTAAATCATTTTTCACACATTTGTGCTACGTCTCCCTGAACAGATTGCCAGCTCTATAAAGGTAACACATATGTCTGGTTCCCACAGCATTTGTCACAGCCCCTGGCACAGAGCGCCCACTCAGCACCTACTAATCTGATCCCAGTAGAGCAAGCATGTCAAACTTGTGGCCCACAACAAGTATTTTTGCGCCCAGTCAGTATAACGGTATGTAAGAAGCATTTTAATAAAAATTTCGTAACTTGATTTTTACAATAACCTGCTATACATAATTATTAATGAACTACAACGTTCGTTAATGTCTGATTACTATAATCATGTTGCATTCATTTCCCTTACATGCCTTACGCACAGGCGTTCCATTTCTCTCCACTAATACTAGCAGCGAATATTTTAGCAGCCGATTGGTCTTGTACTGACTTGTTTGGTGTGCGCAACAGGAAACATTTTGCTTTTGGAGAACAAGAAAAATAGGTTTATTTGCATTACGCTTATTAATTTGTGCAGTTATTTAGTGTCTGGTAAGTTAATGTTCAAGAAAAAATATTAATTTTTATTAAAATGTTCTATTATTTTATGTTAACAATTACTCATTTATTTCAGTCCTTTGTATTCAGCATGTCTCTATCGAAATACACCTACGTTTCTATAAAATTAAAGCTTTTGTTTTTTTGCGGCCCACATAAATTTAAACCTTGTTTATGTGGCCCATGTTAGCCTTTGAGTTTGACATGCTTCCAGTAGAGGGAGGCAGATCCGTCCTGGGTGGGTCTCCTAGTAGGCAGAGGAGTTTGGATCTGCTCGTCTATAGGAGTAGCTCTCAGCACTGGCCATGTATCAGAATTCCCTGGGGAACTAGCTTTAAATGTGCAGGTGGCGAGGCCCCACCACTGAGATCTTGGCATGCAGTTAGGTGGAGAACTACTGATTAAGGCCCCACCACTGCCCAGTCCTGGAGAGGAGTGCTGCACTGTGAGTCCTAAAGCAGGAAAGGGGACAGGGGCCCTCTCCGAGCTCGCCTGGTGAAGCTTCACAATCAGAGCCTTTACCACAGAGTTCACCTTCTTGTCCATAAAGACTTGGCAGAAAATCTTGAAATTAAGTCAGCCGAAGGGCCACCGAGGCTCTGCAACTGCTTAGGGCAATTCTTCTATGAGGCCACCCCTGAGTGGGGGCGGGTGAGGAGAAACCCATCACCACCAGCAGGGACACTCTGGGGCAAGGACTTGCTATAATTCAGGTTTACGTGGCTTTCCCTCCACAGGGTTTAAGGGTTTGTCCCATTTATACAAGGGAAGCCCACATACTGAAAACTAGTTGAAAAACTTGGTTTCTATCACATTCTGGATATTCCTTCAGAAAGTTTCTTCATCTTGCATGATCTGCCAACTGCAGTTAGCAACCTCCTTCCTCCTTTCTACAACAGGCCTCTCCAAACAGAAGCTCTGCCTCTCTGTGGAGAGCACCTGTGTGCACGCATGTGTAGGGCTTATTGTAGAGCAAGTGTCAAAGCTGGGAGAATCCTCCTTACTTTAAGTTCAGCTTTCTTTTTTTAAAAAAAATTGATTTTACAGAGAGATGAAGAGAGGGGGAGAGAGACATTGGTATGAGAGAGAAGCATCGATCAGTTGCTTCCTGCAGACCCCCACCCCCCCTCCGACCTGAGATCGAGCCTACAACCTGGGCATGTGCCCTGACTGGGAATTGACCTGGCAACCTTTCAGTGCACAGGACGACACTGAAACAACTGAGCCACACCGGCCAGGGCAATTAGCTTCTTGAATCCATTCCTCTGAAGAAACATTTAATTGTGGGTCATTTATATAAAAATCTATGAAAGCAGGAAAAAAAAGAAAATACCTATTTACTAAACCCCAATGCAATGATTATGCTTGTTAAAACTATATTCCTTTCTTAGCTCCTGGTCATGTCCAAACAAAATACCCAATGGTGGTCCACAGAGTGGAGTGTAGTAGTCTAGCTCTACTTCATTTAAAGAGCAGACACCAGGACGACCTCCCCATGAATCCTTTCCTAACTCTGTCACCCCCAAGAATATCGAATGACGTCCTTCCCTGGGCTACTGCTGCACCCAGTTATAGGAGTTGGCACTTTACTTTGCAATCATTTGTTCAGGAATCTGTCTCCTGCAGTGGATGGTAGCAAAGGGCAGAGCAGTGTCTCCTACTATCATCAGACTTCTGCTCACACTGAACCTGGCACTCAGCCACATGAACGAACAGCAAGATACAGGAGCAAGAGAACAGTCTCTAATGCCCACAACAACAAAAAGTATTGGTATGAACTCCAAGTCCAATATTTCCCCAACTAATGAGACTGTACATGGGGGGAAAGATGCGACATTAGTATTCTCTGCAGGGCAAGACCTGGAACTGGCCCTTAAAGAATGAAGCCGCTAGGACGCACTGCCTAAGTTAACTTAGGGGGAAAAAAGCCACAGAGAGTTCAAAATAAATCAATTCCTTCAGCAAAAAAAATGAGCGAGATAAAAATAAATGGGCTTTTGCAACGTGAAGACAAGGAGGGATATGAAGGGCTCTTCACTGGCTGTTTGCACAGGTCTGACGGAGCTGCCTGAGAAGCAAAGGGACTGAAACTCAGACAGCGTGAGCTCATAATAATAGGTTAATGCCCCTCTTTTCTCATATGGCTTTGCATTTATTTAAGTGATGTCTTCTCTCAATTTACCATCCTGCCCTCCAGCCACTGAGTCAGCAGAACCTATGTAATGACTCACTGGATCCCTGGCTCAAAGCCTGAAAATAAGCTTCTCTGGAGACGTCTGGCAGGAGAGGAGGAGGGAAAAGTTGACAATTCTTCCTGGGAATTTATTCATCCAAGTTAGAGAGAAGCAGGGGATGGACTTCTGTTAAGAGAGCTGACCCAACAGCTGCTGCCACTAGACTAGGTTCCCTCTAGAGTCTGATAAAAATGTCAAAGGTGAATAAAATATCTGCTTTATTCTAAAAAATATGGCCGAGAAAAGAAAAACTGAAGTGTAAGCTTCTCAACCCAAGGATGGAGACAGTCTCCTGTCAAGATCAGCTGTGCCATCCTCTGAACTATACGTAAGGCACGTCTGTCAAACACAACAGCAGTCTTCGTGAGGAAACAGTCTCTCCACTCTTGTCCCTAGGGGAAATGACAGAAACCAGGAACCAGAAAGGTCCCAAGTCTAGAACGTGAGTGCCAACAGAAATGGCAGTGAGAACATGCAGCTGGCAGCAGCATCAGTAGCACATCGAAGACACATCTTTAGTTATTCTAGATTCTTTCAGTCAACAGTCTTGTTCATGCCTTTCATTTGAGCAGTTCAAAGTGCTTAAACACACTACCTCTTAGTCCTTACCACATTACTGCCTAAAGGCTGAACCATCACTCTGATTTCCCATTTGGGGAAACTAAAACTGAAAGCAACTCAAAACTTATATATTATTAAGTGTGAGATGCCTGCCCTAACATTCGGTCCCTAATTTTCAGACCCTGACCTTGTTAACTTCCTGACTGATTCTAGTAAATACCCCAAAGAGAACCAGAAACAATCCCATTTTCTACTTGAAGAAAGGCATAATTTTCAAGAAGCACTATATTTCATATCTTACATTAAAGTTAATTACTCTAGTAGGTAAGGTTCTCTTAACTTCTGATTTGGAAGTTCACTGAAGCATATTAAGTACATACTGCTTTAAGGTGCCAATTAGTCTGTTTCGATGTTTGAGTTTTTAACTTGAATTAACATGTTGAATCAAATTCAAAAGGCTGGCCTCTGAGTAGAGGAAAGATACCCAGCAAATACACAGAACCAAATTACGTTCAGGTATTTAGGATTCTTTCAGAAATCAGATCTGAAGACTCTGTAATAAAATCTACTGGGGGTAGAGGGGAGCTGGATGGAGTAGCTTGGAGTGACAAACATTAAAACATTATATAACGGGAAGTAATACGCATTGTTAAATATATAACACTTCCAGTTACACACCCAAGGGAAAACAAAGCAATTCAGAGGAAGCTTGCCAGAGGCCCAGCATCAAATCTAAGCAGCTTGGAACAGCTGCCCAAAAAGGCCTTGGGCAGGATCGAGCACAGAGTTGAACAGATGTTATCTGCCCTTTTCTTTCCTTAGTAATAAAGAAAAAATTTATAGGTATGTGTTTAAGATGCCTGCTTTCCTACATCCTGATTCCTCTTGGTTTCAGATCAATTCTGTTTATAGATTTGGAAATTTTCTTCACTGTTGTAATATTCTAGCACTCTCCCTTGAGACAATGGCCAGCATCAGTGCAGGAAACCTGTGGTGAAGAAAGAACAGGGACCCTACTAATTTACACAGAGAAATCTGTAGGACAGTTACTCCTCAACATAACATTACACACTCCCCTGCCGAGTCTTACACCGGTACTCACTCATTCCTCTTACCTGCTTGATACTCTAAAATGAGGTGGAACTCATCCACTTCTTGCAGTGACTCTGGTGGAACAAATACATTGTCATCAAGAAGCTCGTGCAGTTTCGGACCAACTGGACCACAAAGAAGAACCTGGAGACAAGAAATATGAAGTCTATCAGATCTGTTCCTTTTTCCATGGAATCTGTATAGTAACCAAAAAGGTACATTGAGGCCACTTATTTTCATTTTAACAAAACACTGAAATCCCAATCTAATTTTGAAAGTTATGTAATAGAGGGACTATTATCAGGGTTTCAGCCTCTGGAACATATGACCACAATGTACCCAGGAATGAGAGGCTGACAAAAGACCCATGTCACACATGTTAGGTCCTATGTAGCTGTTAGGGACTGAACATTTGTGTCCCCCCCCCCCCCAAATTCACATGTTAAAGTCTAATTGCCAATGTGACAGTATTTGGAGATAGAGCTTTTAGGAGGTAATTAAGGCTAAATGAGGTCATATGGGTGAGGTCCTATAGGAGGTAGCCTTATAAGAAAGAAAGGGAGAGATTGCTTTCTCTCTGCACCATACACACTGAAGAAAGGCCATGTGAGGTCACAGCAAAAAGGGTGGCCATGTGTAAGCCAGGAACAGGGCCTCACCAGAAACCAAACATTGCTGGAACCTTGACCTTGGATGTTCCAGCCTCCAGACTGAGAAAATGAATTTTTGTTGTTTAAGCCACTGGTCTATGACATTTTGTTATTATGGCAGACTAAGACATGCCCTACACTACTTTCTCTTTTTCTTCACTCACATCCTGTGTAGGAAAATAGATGTGGAATGT